ACCTTCAAATATTCCTGTTGAGTTCATACGGAAATCAAAAGATCGAATCATCGAAGACATTCAGTTCATTCAGATAAATAAAGATAAAATTAGAATGCTGGAAAAAGTTATAGACCTTCTTCACTTGTACGAACTCTTAGTTACAAGAGCAATACGATTTCGTCAACTTCGCACGGCACTGGTGAACCTGGAATTTGATAGTCGGAAGGCCTTCTCCTCTCTTTTCCTCGACCTTCTTTATAGCTCTATTCTTGGCGTCGCCCTGCGTCTCGTTCATTTCAGCCTGCTACGTTTGAAAGAGGGCTGCCCGGCATTTGCTTATCACCCTTATCCACTCCTCAACTCCCTCCCGCCGTGCCTTCACCTGTACAAAGCCCTCCTTGCAAGAGAACCAGGCCCCCCTCTCTCTCATCCTCCAACGCTCAGTCATCTACTCTTGGGGCTACACCCTAAAACCCTACCGCCTCAGGCCCTCAAAGGTTAGAAACAGCTGCCGGGCACCCCAGTGCCGCCGCCTCCGCGGGTTATCGCTTGAGATGGCTTACTACTTGAAGCATCTCAAATGAAGCCTTAATTGAAAGCCTGCTCGAAGCTTTTCTTGCCCTTTTTAATGAAAACTAAAGGCCGCGACTATATTTAATTAATAGAAAATTGCTTATATGATCATTAAAATATTATAAAACTAAAAATAAAATTGATATATCATAAAAAAAATTATTTTGATCGGACATGAATCTCAAGGCAAAAATCAGGCCGGAAACTTCAAAAATTTAATTCGGGATCATTTGAACTCCAATTTTAGCAAACTTATTGCAGTCGAATTGAGCGTCTCGAAAATACAAACCCAACGACACCAAATTCAACTCAATCTGAGCCCAAATGAGTCTGAATCAAAGACCCGAAGCTCTGTTGAAAGGTTCAAACCACAATTTGGATTATCAAACGGTTCCCAAACATAACATGTTTATATTCGAATCGAGCGGCTCAATGAGACGAATCCAATGAGCCCAAGATCGTCGAATTCTGATATCATTAAGACCTCCAAATGTCTGACAAATGGTCCACGATCAAGGGATTCAATATCGATCGTCCATCCAAGCCACTACACATTTGTCCTTTATCCTCCTATTTACGGGTCATGACATCCTCAAAAAATTATAAATAGCCCCTCATTTCTCTTAAGAGGGGACCCGATGTTCAAGTGACGTCAGAATTCTGCCTGACTTCCAAGTGACACCGGAATTCTGCTCGATTTCCAAGTGACGCCAGAATTCTACCCGACTTCTAAGTGACGCCGGAGTTCCGCCCAACTTGCCATTGAAGTCGGAACTCTGCCCGATCTCCAAGTGATGCTAGAATTCTGTCTAATCTCTAAGTGACTCTGAATTTAGCTCAAATACACAACTTGTTTGTAACTGAATTTCAATCCATAAGTGAATCATTAAAATATGATCATCCTAAATTTTAAGGATGAGTCAGCCTCTTGTATCTCAAACAAATATTAATTGAATTATTTCAATTGGGCGTGACTCAGTGGTTCTTTCACTTTCCAGGATTTTCACGTAAAAATCCTGGTGTGTTTATTTTTCTTCTGTTTGTCTACTTGATATCCGTACAACCATGATATGAAAACTTTTTAACTCTATCGTCATATATATTCTAACCCGCAAAAAAATGTATATCAACTTAGAAGATAAAAAGTTTGAAAAAAAAAAGATAAGTGGTACAAAAATGTCCATCACACAATTAAACCAATAAATAAATATGGCACTAGCTAGGTGTAAATTAAAGACATGACTCGATAATCTAACTTGGAAATTTATTTTGGGTCAGAATTGAGCCATTTAGCAAAGGGTTCAAATTCGAGACTTATTTTTCGATTCATTTATGTGTCGGATCGAATTTGGGCGCACCACCACGAACTCGTAAATTACACAATTTTGAACTGTGACATATTGAAATCGTTAGTAACTTCAAGTACGATGTGTTTGAGGCTCCCAATCAATCACGTTGTGAATTCTAATTTCTAAGGCTAGGGATTATGTTTTCCCTTTTGCACCGCATGTATATACCAATTGATGCTTTTATGAGTTTTCTCTCTTACTAAGCAATTGACGATTTCATCACTCGACTTTCCTTGCCAGTTGCCTACTTCTCCCTTCTCTATCTTCATTCAAGCTTTTGATTTTCAGTGTGATGTTAGAGTCCCTTTTTTTCCAACATAAGAAAATTGGCAAGTAAGGTCGAGTAGGGGTGTCAATTCGGGTCAACGGGTCGGGTTCGGGTAGAATCCGAAACTAAACCAGCACTATTCGGGTCAACCCGAACCCGACCCGTTTTTAAAAACGGGTCAGGTTTCCGGACTCGAACCCGACTCGATTTGAGTCCGGGTCAACCCGACCCGACACGAATGACCCGGGGTTGACCCAAAATTGCTAGTTTTCGGGTCAAAACGGGTCAATCTCAAGTTTTTGTGTCAAATATGAGTTTTCGTGTCACTTTCGGGTCAATTTTGGGTTGCTGAGTCAACCTGATTTTTAAAACGGGTTGATTTCTTGAACTCGAACCCGACCCATTTCGGGTTCGGGTTGACCCGAAACCGGATTTTTTCGGGTCGTATTTCGGGTCATGTCAAAAATTGACACCCCTAAGGTCGAGTCAAAATAGGCTGAGAGCGAGTCAAGTTTAGGTTCCTGATTTTGACTTGTTTGTAAAACGAGTCAAACCGATTCAATGCAGGTTAATTTTAGATCATATGCGAACCTACCTCGAAAACAGATTTTGACATCCCTGTCAATAGGCACCACAAAAAAAAATCTACAAAAATAATAGAATCATGTATCCATAGTGAAAAATTGAAAGTAATCCATCATAGAATCACCTCAAAAAAGTACCAATTGAAATAAAAAAAAAAAAAAAAAAAATCATAGCCATCCAAACTATTGGGTACTTGGCTTATACATCAATTTTGGTGTTGTAGAAATATACTAAATTTAAGATGCCTTATTTGTATATGAAAGCTGTCGTTCTCATTAGAGTTTTTATTTGAGTGAATTGTATCTTATTGAGCTTAAAACAGTCAAAGGCTTGCCTAAATGGGATAGTATCATCTAGCAATAACAATAATATAAGTATGTTGTGTTCAATGTTACAGTCCTAGAAAATTTTTCCAATCACAATTAGATTTTAAAATTACAAATAAATTTATATTATTACATTATTATGAATTTAATAAACAAATTTCATCACATTTATGAATATTAGCGAATTGAGTTGACTTTAAATTTATATTATATTCTATTAATTTGTTTTGTATGAATCTATATTTTAATTAATTCATTAAATCACCCAATAAAGGATAATGAACTACATATCAATAAGTTTCTATAATTAAATACTTATTTTGTTAACAGCATACATAATATTAAAATGATAAAAAATAAGCCATTAATACGTAATTATCTGTAATAAAAGTACTAAGCTTATAATTTTGAAATTTTATCTAATAGACTTAAAAATTTTATTTTAACTTGAATGAAGAGAACATATAGAAGAAATATGTTTAAATAATATAAACTAAAATTGTGCTATAAATGAACACCGAAAGGACTATGTTGCAATCAGATCGTTACAAAGTCCAGTCGTGCATATAATGTAATCAATCGCCCTTGTCGTATGGAGAAGGTAAAGATAAGGTGAGCCTGTTTGGAAAGAATGCTCTTTGATAAGTAGAGAATATTCTGCAGAAAAACAATACTTGCTGCATAGCCTTGAGCTGAATGCACTGTACAGTGGCAAAGGACACAAAGTTTCAGTTGACCAGTTAAGCTGCAAAAACGTAAATATTATTCAGAATAAATGAAATAAGCAACTGTGGAAACTAGAATTGCATGTGTTTAAAAAAGCAGAGATCTTGGGCCACTATTGCATGCTAGAAGTCCTGGCTTAGCTACAAACGATGGCCCCACACAATCAAAGTAAAATAAAATAGGAAAGAGGGACAATTTTTTTTGGAAAAGAGATATATACCCGTTGCCACTTCAAAAGGAGCGTTTGGCAGCATAACTAATCCATTGACGGAACCTAACAAGACCACCCACCAGCATCAGGCCCACACTTGTTTTTCCCCACTGAAGAAGCGGGGCCGTAATAGAGGGGAATCGAACACATTATGGGGGATTCCCAACCGTGCTCGTCCACCAACCACCCTAAGCCTCGGTGGGGGGACAGAATTTTTGTGGAGAAGTATAAGACCTGATATGATTGAAACAACTTCCACCAAAAATAGTTTTATAACAACCTCATTATTGGAAATGCGAAGGGCCAAGGCAACACAGCCAAAAGGCAATGAACGAGGAAGCCTTGGAAGGTCCAAGAGGCCATTGAGGATGATCAGACTTGTCATCGTCTTGGAGGTGAAGGTAACACCATTTGAAGATGGTGGACGAAATGTAGAAAGTTAGAAGAGTGATTGAGGGTAGTAAGAATGATTCCTTTGAAGATGAAGAGGGCACAATTTGAAGGCAACGAACAAGGCAGTGCAAGGAAGCAATGGAGGTGACTGAGGGCAGTAAGGGTGATCCTCCTTCAAGAGGAGGAAATAAGATGACGTATAAACAATGGCTGGAGGCAATATAATTAAATCATAGAGGTGATTGAGGGTAATCAAGACAGTCCTGCTTCTGGATGAGATGAAACGGCTTAAAAGGGGGATGTGCAAAGCAACACAGAAAGTTCATAGAGGAAACTAAAGCAATAAAGATGATCCTCCTTCAGGAGTTGGAGATGGCACAACTTACACAGCAAATGAGGCAATGCAAGAAGGTTATGGAGGTGATTGAGGGCAATCAAATATGACCTCTCTCATGAAAGGAAAAAAAAACTGAGAAATTTGAGGCAAAAGAGACAATTCCCCTTAAAAGAATGTGAGGCAGTATGATGAACGATGAACGACCCAATGATGAAGGTGAAAATGGATCAAAAAAATAAAAAATGATTGATTGGAACATCATTTTTTTTTTTAAAGTTCTGAGATAAATGTTTAAGCCAAAATTTTATATTTGGTTCTTTTGATTTACTTTGAAATCTATTATTTGTACAAAAATTGTAATTAATCAGATAAGAGGATTTTGAAATGCCAACATCTGCTAATAAGCACATTAGGATGCCAGTAAAAAATGGTGAAAAGGCAGGGTAAGTGACTTACATATCTAGGGGAGAAAAAAGGCAGAAGAAATCAACATCCGTTTTCAGTAGTATTCACTAATTCCAATAAAAAATATGGAATGATATAAAAAATGAAGAGACTAATCTTGAAAATTTTCAACAACAATAAGCCACTACTCAACGAAAGGAAAGCAACAAACAAGGGGTTGATTTTACTGACTAGAGAAAAGCCACAGACCAAAAACTATGAAAACTGCATAGGGTTGGCAAATAGGCTGTCAATTGTAAATAGGATGATGAAAAGTGCGATTTGTACCAGAGGGTATAGATTATTAATTCTGAAACGGTGGGAGATCTAGAAATTAACATGAAAGGGTTATAAAGAGAATGGATTAATAAAAAATCACATGCTTTTTAAGTTCAACAAGTTTTAACAAAATTAAATAAAAAACGAATCCAGTTCATCAAAATTGAATAAGAATTTACAAAGCCAGCCAAAAACTAGCAAAGGTTGGTCCTGATGATTATTATGACAGGTCAAAAGAGCCATACATCAACTGCAAGGTATGTAGCAGGAACAACATGAAAATTATAACTCATAAGGTATAAGGCTAATAGAGATGATCAACAAGAAGGAAAATAAAGTGAAAGGCGAGAGCAACAAAATTGGGAAAAACCCCAAAGAAAGACAAAAAGTTAAGAAAATATTTCCAGCAAAAAACAAACAAACAGAAAGATAAGATCTACAAAGATCATCAACAAGTATGCAAAGAACTGAACTTACCATTAAGATTTTGAGAAGCCTCCATGATCCTTCTCAACATGCTCCACCAACAATACTGGGTCCCTGAATGCTTTGCTGCACCTGGGGCAAACATCAACTATTACTCTATTGGGAGCTTGTTTTACTTTACTCTCATGTACTTTCTCTACATGCTCAATTAGAGAAGTAACATTGGCGAATCTTGCATGACAGTGAATGCAACTTTCAACAAGATCACCATTTGCACCACTGCCCTGAGCCATTCCATCTTTGGCCTTATGCAGAGCTTGGTTAGTTGCAATAGCCAGTCTCTGCATGCTAGCTTCAGCAGAGGCTCTTATGCTTGATGCAGCATTCAGTAGGCCTAAACTCCATTTTGAGGAGCCATTTGAAGTTTGATTTGGCGTAGAATTACCCTTCTGACTCCTCAGCACACCTATGAATGGAAAGCCTGTATCAGGTTTCCTTGGTCCAAGGCAATTGTGGTCAGGGCCAAATCTATGTCTCAGGCAGTGCTCTTGGGTGCAGTCCTTGCATCGAATTGTGTTCGAAAAAACCAATATTTCTCTGCATCCAGGAGCAGGACACCGTTTCTTCTTGGTTACCTTTTGATAATTTGATGGGTCGCAATCGCCATTCACATGAAGATCCCAAGTGATGTTTGGATCTTCATTTGGAACAAGACGGACACCTTGAGCACAAAGTGGACAAACAAGCACGGTTACATCCATTTGGTTTGCATTTGGACACAAGTGCTTGGCGTAACTTCTGTGTTGCAGACAGAATACCTGTCCATCAATCATGCAGAGGCAAAGTAATCAGAAAAAAAAAACAATAAGTATGTAACATTGCCAATCTATAGCTCAATTAGCATCCATTTAATATATTCAGCTCAGTTGGCCAACATAGTCTAGCCATACTAAGATTAACATTAATAAGATACCCTTCTTGTAATTCATGCATCTATTGTTGTTAGACACATGAAAGAATCTCGATCCAACAGGGTGAAAGGGATACTAATTCATTCCTCTGTCCTTTAATAGCAAAAGCCACATGTAACCAAAAAGGATGAAAATTTTGTACGGTTTATAAATTTAAAACCTAATATTTACACTTAATCATGATTAGGGAAAAAAAATGTCCCATCAGCCACCTTTCAAAAAAAACTTGGCAAAAAATGGTAGTTAAATAAGTTTATACCACATAAACCTCCATGCACAAGTATTTTGGTATCAATATTTAAGAACAAGATAATATTCGAACTTGAGCTAGCTATAGATGAAATAAGCATAAGATAAAGCTATAGAAGAGAGTAATGAGGCATAGAAATATTATATCAATAGGAAGAACAAATTTAGTTTTCTGAAAGAAAAGTTATATGCAAGTGGTGTTTATACCATGACAATGAATAGAGCAGTGTATAAAGAAAAGATAAGATATTCATATGATTTTTCTTGACCTTGAGATGATTGAGTGCTAAGAGAATTAATATGGTACGTATTAAACAAACATGTGCCAAATGTATGTTGATATTATTAAACATATATATGATTGAGCACTTACTAGTATTAAGAGTAATTGAGGAGACCAAGCATTTCAAATTACAACAAGTTTACATCAATGACCAACATTGAGTCCATATCTTTTATATTGATTACAAATACGCTAGTGTTTTCAATAATGTGATGGGCAAAGGTTCCTTTTTTGCATATAATGCGATGTGCAAAGGTTCCTTTTTTGCTTCAATGAGCAAAGCATAAAGCAAAACAATGTGTTAATGATTTTGTATATCATATATTTGTATATTATGTGCATATAATAGTCATTTAATAAGCCAAAAATGAAATCATTCTTATTAATAATTTCCAGGAAATATAATAGCATGTTCAATAACAATAATTTCAGCTATCGGAAATAAAAAATCAAATATATAAATAATAAAATGATGAAATAATACTTAAAAAAAAAGATACCTTGTTTAGACCAACTAAGTCTGTGAGATGGAGGCAACATGAAGCAAAAAAGAGTAGTGTTAAGATAAGGCATTAAAAAGCATTGTCGGAAAGAGAACATAGAACCAACGAGCTACTACTCAATGACTGGAAAAAACAATGAGGATAAACAAACAATTGTGCCCAATCATTGCAAGAACTACTGAAATGAATCACAAAATTTGAACAAGAAAATGAATCACAAAATTTGAACAAGAATTTTGTTTTGAGCTGGAGACAAGCTCACAGAGCTACAGTGCAATGCTGGGAAGCGACGCAAAAATGTGCTTTTTTTTTAACTTGTGCTTCACAAGCAAGTAATGTGTAAGGTGAGCGCATCACTTGGTTTTGCTCCTAGAATGTGCTTCAAAGAGCACTTTTAACAACACAAGGGGATGCTTATAAAGGATAATTAAAGCAAGGTGTAATGATGTAAGGTGTTTGTTGATGATATAGTTCTAACTGTTCAGAGTCCATTAAAATAAGTAAAAATTTAGAATAATAAGGAAAATGCTTAGAACATAAAGGACTTGATATTTATATTATGAGAAGTAAAGATGATGCCAAGTATCTTTGAAATATAAAAGAGAATAGAGATATGAATGAGAATATAAATTCTAAAATCGAAACAGGATGGCTAAAATGAACAAGCATAAAATGAAATTTGTGTGATAAAAAAAATATCATGGAGACTTGGTGAATTTTTAAAATTCCAATTAAGCCAATGATATTATATGAATATGAATGTCGTTAATAAAATAATCATTGATATCTAAATTGAGATGGCAAAAATGAGGATGTAAATTAGGAAGAATAATTTAATAAATGATTATATTATAGAGACTGCTAAAGTGCTAAAGAGACATCTATTTCTTTTTTTACTCATTCCTCTAATTTTTATCATATTTTAATTGTATTCTTTTTATTTTTCAATTACTTTGTAACCAAAAGTAAATATTCTTTTATTCAAAAAAGTTTTATTTCAAGTTGTTTAATTTGAGATGTTGCTCCTTTTCCTTACATATATAATTAATTTCATCATGATTACAGATAAAAATAATATTTTTAAATTTTAGATTGAACCTTTTGATACATGTGTGTGATAATTAAACAAATTAAACTATATATATATATATATATATAATTTTTTTATGTTACTGCTGTATTTTAAACTTACTCTTATTAATTTTAAACAAAGTTCATTTATTTTGCAACCAACAGCAACTAAGCGTTAAATTTAAAAAAAAAAATCTATTGCCAAGTTGTTTAACTTTAGATATTTTTCTTTCCTCGTACATATTTAATTTTAGGGGGATTTACATACATACCACTTTATTTCATGCTATTTACAAGTTTAATATATGCACTTTTATGTAAGTTCTCAGAAGTATTAGAGTGTAAACCATCCTTTGGACCATAGCTTCAAGCAATAATCCAAATTTACATGTGTGTAGACAATACTGCAAAAATAACTAACTGTCACATGAAAATGTATAGAATCTACTTCGATCACACGGCAATGAATTCATTGAAATTTTTACCACATTCAATCTGGGCTTGAAAGCACAAAGCTTAAATTAGGATATTTAACCAATTTACAACCAATACTTTCTGCACAAACCAGTAACATTCAAATGATCTCACAAGTTTCCATGATTTGAGATTCACTGCCTTTCAAAAGTGAAACAGAACAAAAAACAAAAATTAACTGTAAATCTAGCAAATAACACGAAGATCTCACAAGTTCAATAGAATCAAACTGCCCAATAACCCAGTATCAGAATTTCTCTCATAATGATGGGAAATAGGAAATCAACGAACTCCTACTGAAAGATAACAATGCTTATAACAAGAAATAAATATGCGTTAATGCTGATGACACTTCCAACAAAACTAAAAAGTAGCTCGGGACGATGTTTCATGAACATTTGAAAATTTCCAGAGAAACCCAAAACTTCATTGAGTTCTTGAGCCAATCTCCCAAGTCTTCATTTTTCATTATGTTAAATTTTTAGTATAAAACCTAGACATGTGAACAGAACAGAAAACCTCGAATCCCATATGGCGAAAAACAATACCCGGAAAAATCAAAAAGCAAAACAATACCCGGAAAAATCAAGCCCTAAGTTGTAACAATTGGCGAAGGGAATTGACGTACTTTATCACAACAGTCGCAGGTGAAGGGAAGGAAGTCAATGAGTTTGCAGTCTTCGACGCTGCAATGCTTTCCCAGATTGGGGAACGCCGGTGTGCCCATCGGAGATCAAGGCGCCGGCCGGTAGGATCGAGCTAGGTTTTCGATAAAAGATAAGGCGATAGCTTTCAGGAATGCCAAAGGTGACGGCACCTCTTTCACGTCAACTCTCCGTCCAAATACCACCGGAAGAGAAAGCGCGTTACTGAAGAATAATCAAGAAGCCTCGCTTTTTTTTTTTTTTTTTTTTTTTTTTTTTTTTTTACATTTAGGTCATTTAAGTCAAACTCATATATACGTAACATGAAAAGTTGATTTTTTTTTGGACATTTAGGTCATTTAAGGCAAACACACATACACCAATAGGGGTGTCAACTTTTGACCCGACCCGTTTATCTTGGAACATTTAGGTCATTTAAGGCAAACACACATACACAAATAGGGGTGTCAACTTTTGACCCGACCTGTTTGATAAACGGGTCGGGTTTGGGTTCACAAATCTGACCCGTTTGAAAAAACGGGTCGGGTCTGGGTTAAAATGTCCGACCTGTTTGCAAAAACGGGTCGACCCGAACCCGACAGGTTGACCCGAATTGACACCCCTATACACAAAGACTCAAACTCAAGACCTCTTAGTTGATAGTCTAAGTTCTCAATCAACAGGCCAAAATGAGCTGTGTCTATATTCAAGAAGCTACAGATGTATGGTTGTAAATTTCAAGATAAACTTTTATCAACAACAGCAAGTCTTTATCACACTATTTGAGGTTTGTGATTAGAGACAAATTATGTGTAAGTTTATTCTTTAATAACTTAGATCAATAATTACTCACAGCTACTGATTAGTTTAATATTTGTTGCATATCTACAAATATGTAATAAATATGCAGTCCATACACAGTCCATATTCAGTATATACGCAGTCTATAAGCAGCATCCGGACAATCATCTATATTCAGAGTTCGCACATAATAATTTTCCCTTTATCATACTATTTGAGTTCCATGTTTAGAGACAAACTATGTGTAGATTTATTTTTTAATAACTTAGATCATTATGATGTATGATGATGCTAAAAAGCATGTTACAATGATGTTATACCATTGTAAAATGATCTTAAAATGCTTGTTATTTTTACTCTTGGATCATTTGGTTTGAATAATGTTGGATTAAGTTTAAACAAGATTCAAATAAGGTTCGAACCTATTTAAACTTCATTCAAACCTCTTTAGAACTTGATCAAACCTTGTTTGAAACTATTCGAATCAAGTTCAAATTTCTTTAGATTTGCTCAAGCTTTGTAGACCAAGTTCAGAACCCAAAAAAAGGGTTCAAATTTGGTTAAAAGTAGGTTTATGCATTGTTTGAACATTTCTAAAAACTCGATCAAACCTTGTAATGAAAATGTTTATCTTCCAAAGAGCAATTTAGCACTATAAATGGCTCACAGACTAAAGCTCGATCCGTTGGAATCACTATACATTTTGAGAACACATAAATTTATTACCACTAAAAGAAGGCAATTATAGACTTTTAGGCTTTATTTCAGACAGTTTTCTTACTACTTTATAAAGCAGATTCTTAAGATAAAATTTTTTTAACTTGAATTTTCTTACTAAAAAGTTGTTTCATAAAGCATTAAGAAAGCTGTACTAAACGAAGCCTTATTTTCTTCTTAAAATCCCATTTTCCTAAGAGCAATCCAGTAAATACTTCGCAAATGAAGATTTGTAGAGGTCAGTAAGATCTCCATCAACTTGAAATTATAAACAAGTTTATATATCTTTCTCAAAACAGACTAGAAGAGATATCAAAACAGACTATTTATATTAACTAACTAACTAATAACAGTTGATATAGCTCGATTACATATGCTTTTTAGTCTAAACAAACCATTACTCAATCGAAACTATTTCCCTTCATTAACTAGCCAACTAAACGGCTATGAAATTAATCAAGCACATATAGTAATACTTCATTTGGGGCAGTTTTCTTACTACTTAAAGTAGCTTTTTAGCACAAAAATTAAGTTTTATAATCGAAAACGGCTTTAAGAAACAGTAACAAAGTCGTCCCAAATGAAGCCTAAATATCTGTTAATGTCATGCATACAAGCTTCTTCTAAAATCTACATTAAAGCCTTAAATTAATTCAGAAATACATCAATCCTTCCTAATAATTAGCAATAGATGGTAGATGACTAGAGTATAGGAGCCCATATTCGTCAATATAATTCAAATTGCATGGAGGTGGAATCACTGTTCCTTTCTTCCTCCAATTGACATTTTGACAGAAGCTTTCAGCATCATCAACATCATCATCATCTACTATGTTGATATCTTCCAAAACTATGTCATTGCATGGAAAACTCTCGCTGCAGTTGAAATTTATCGCAAACTTGGAACCACTTGTTCCCTTAATATTCCTGTATTGCACATTGCTTATTTGCACTGCAGATTTCTGCATATAGTAAATTCATTTTCTTTTTTTTAATCATTTTTCAGCACAGATAATGAGAAAGATTAAGGCTTCATTGGGACGACTTTCTTACTACTTCTTAAAATTATTTTGAAAAACCGATTTAAGAAGCAGTAAGAAAGTCGTCCCAAATAAAGCGGCAACATTTGGGACGGCTTTCTTATTGCTTTTTAAAACAGTTTTTTAGTAAAAAATTAAAAACTATTTTAATAAGCAGTAAAAAAGCCGTCCTAAACGAAGCCTAAGAGCATGTCTATATAATATAGAAAGAGAGGAGAGATATCTATATGAATTTGGGTACTTACCTGCTGCATACATTTCTTCTTTTTGTCGCAGTAGTTTTGATCAATGATTATTGGATTTTTGACACCATCTATGTCAATATTTTCAAATATAATGTTCTTTGCGTAGCCTTTTCCACCCTACAAAAACAGATTAATTGGGTTCAAGATGTATATGTACAGATAAATAGCAGATGACACCGAGGGCTCTTTGAATTATTATAGATAAAAATATAATTATCATTAGTGCAATAATCTACCAACTCATTTCCACTGTTTCCTACTTGTTTTAATTCATTTTTCATGAAATTAAACTCCTTTTTATATACAACTAATTAAGCAGTCAAAATATATCCTTTAAAATTTGCTTATATATTATAATATGATTTCTTATAATTAATTGCCTGCCATGTCTTGATCCGAACTCCATTTTTAGTGCCGCGAAGCTGTGCAGTGTCCACTGTAACATCTGAGACTTGAGCTTCGGAGTTCTTCGCTCCTAAGCTCCCAATGCTGGTAGCAAAATAAGAGCAGCAATTACAAAACAATTACAGAGAAAACATGCAGCAGCAGCATTACGTGATTAATTACTACGAAATTACAAGTAAATCAGGACCTGATTCCATGGCCAGGACCGCAAACAATGTTGGTAGCTTTGACATCTTGAGATCCACTTACAATTGAGATGCAATCATCTCCTGTAAACTCGAACGATTAGCCACAGATGATATAATATATATTCGACCTTTTCACACTCCGACTAAACTCTTAGGGGATGTTTGGTAGCACCCAGGATTTGATTTAAGTAGGATTTCATAAATTTTCTAAATTTGGATTTCGAAAATTCTAAGAAGCCTAAATCCTGAAAATTGTTTGGTAACATTCATGATAAATCCTATAAATTCTCGTGTGACTGTTTGGCTATAGAGCGGTTTTAACGAGCGAACTCTTCCTCCTGAAGCCAATGGATTTCGTCATTCCGGCAAAAAACAGGATGTTGGAAATCCAGGATTTAGCATGAAAAGGCGGAATTTTCTGTCTACGGCTGCTTTTGTTTGCCGTGAGGCTGCTTTCGTTTGCCGTGAGATTTGGTTTTGCATTTTAGGCCATTTGGCTGGATTTCGCTCAAATCCGCCTCAAATCCGGCCGAAAACCCTGCTACCAAACAGCCCCTTAATGTCTCAATCTTTGTTTTGTTGTAAAATATGATTAAATAAAAATTTTAGAAATTCAACTGAAAGGAGACCTTACAGTACAGACATTAGCTAATTACATAGTTAATCTGCTATGTTAATCAACAATATTTTTAAAATGGAATTTCATATAAATGCACAAATATGCTTATTAATTACCAGTTCCAATATTGCAATTGTTTATCTGAATATTTGTAGTTTCTGTGACATGAATTCCATCTGTATTTGGGCTCTTCTCTGGCGCTTCAATGCTGATGGTTGAGGCAGTAACATTGTTGCATTTCTCGAATTTGATGTGAATCTGTTGGCTATTTTTCACGTTCAGATTTTCCACAGTTAATTCGTTGCAAGATTTGAAAGTTAAGGCCTGCACTCAGTTTTAACAATGTAAATTACCAATCTAATTTAATTTAGTTTTTAAGTAATTTTTTAATTAATGAAATTGAATTACATATAAAAGAAATATTTGTGAAAAAAAACATACCGTTGGAGCATCCTTGCATGGCTGGAAGAACAAAATCAAGTAGTAAATGATATTAGCCATTGACATGTTTGCTTGCGTTAATATTTGGCATGAAGAAAATTATATAAGAGATTAAGGCTATGTTTGAAACTGGTTTCTTATTGTTGTACTAAAAAGCTGTTTTAAGAAGAAGTAAGAAATTAAGCTGTTCCAAATGATAAACCTTCATTTAGAATGACTTTCTTAATGTTTTTTTGAAGTAACTTTCTACTACAAAAATTTTTTATGCTAAAATAATGTTTTAAAAAGTATTAAGAAAGTCATCACAAACGAAGCTTATAGTACAAAAATACTAAGAAGTAATAAAAAAAGTCGTCCCAAACGAAGCTTAATTACACATAAACAACACATTAAAATGTAGATTAATAGAATATTGAGCTCATCAAATGACTGAAAGATCTCATGAACTATTAGATTAAGATGCATTATTAATGTTAATTAATTAAAAAGTTATAAAGAGAACTAAAGCTTACTTGCGATTTATCTATTTTGCAAGACTTCTGCCACCAAACCTGCCCATTACCATTGATAGTGCCACCGCCTCCCACTATGAGATTCTCTATATGACTGAAAAGGATCCATATCCTTCTATTTTTGCTCCTCCAATCCGCTATGTTCGAAGACGCTTCTATCGTTCCTTCGATCTGAAATTTCTTATCATAAATTCCTACTAATTAATATATGACATTATTGATTTTGAATCGTCCTCACCATTACAGAAACATTTGATTTGCAAGGGCCAGAAAATGTTATAGATTTAAGGAGATAAGTATTTTTATTTGACACCACTAGAGAGGCAGGCCCAGTAGAGGCGCAAGCTGCTTTCCATGCCTTCTCAAACGCCTGAGAATATAAAAAATATGAAATGAAAACTACGTATATATGATCAAAGTATGGCCTTCATGAATATTATATTATACAAGTAATTTAAGCTATAAATAAATTGGATTTACCATAGTATCATCAGCTCCACCGCCTGTAGCACCATAATCATCAACGTTAATAACTATAGAATCATTAGGCTGAGAGTTTCCAACTTGATCAAAGCTCTCCTTTGTTAATCCTTCTGCGCCAAGCAAAAGGGGGATAGTTTCCTCTCGTTCCAGTTTATCAAGACCAGCTGGATGAGCAGTGGAGCCATATAAAGTAGAGGCTTTTGAGGAAGCCAAACCTGCAGGTTTTGTTTCATAGTTATCGAAGCATGGTAAGAACCACATTAACAGAGAGAACAAAAGAACATTAACGTTTGGAGCCATTATAAGAGAAACAATGAGATTAGAAGTATCTTGGGCCTTTTGGGTCTTGTGAGACACATTTTCATGCTAAATAGATATATATAGACAGATGGTGTGTGAGGAAAAAATATTTGGCGCGGACGTCGAATTCCACAAGAGATCAATCATAATGCGTCACGTCACCTCTTGTTCGGTACTGCGGCTCAGTACTGCTGATGTGGTGCATTCTGGTTGGTCTTTGGACGTACAATATTCTATATCCGGTCTCCGCACAGAATAATTTCTCGTGTGTGAGGGTGAGAGAGAGAAAGAGTAGGAAAGGGGGTTGCAGATTTGCAGAAGATTATATTGAAGCGTAAAGATCTTAAATCCTTTCGAATGTCGTCACATCAAAGTTTAATCTGGTACTTCATTAGTTAAACTTATTTAAAATAAGACTTCTGAAAACAATTAGATAAGGATAACATAATAAAATTTTGGGATAAGATATTAAAATTTTTTATTTGAGCTTCCTGAAGCTGTAGTAGAGAATATATGCTAGAGAAACAATGAAAAATTAATGGCATACCTGTATGATTTACTTAAAAATAAATTTCAAAGACATGCTTGGTTACAGCTTGAGTGAGGTCAACCGTTAAAATAATTGCAAAAATAAATTAAATTAAAAATTTGAATACTTTTACATAACAAAAGCGCAATACCAAAAAAGATAAAAATTTAATATAAAAACTACTGATCATTGCAGTAATTAGAGCTCCTAATCATTCCATAATTAGAGCTCTTCTAATTACGAATGTGATTGATAGTGTTAAGAATAAAATTCAAATAAAAAGCAATGGCATAAACGTGAGACACTTAATTTTTATACTTGCATGTTTTTTAATTTAAACTCCGAATAGTTGTGGAATTTAATTTATATAATTTCAGTATAAATAAAGATATACAATATTTAAAATACTATTAAAAAATCAAATTAAATGCAATATTGGCATGCATGTGGGACAGTTAACTTTTAAATTTGCGTTTTTTAACACAAATTCAAAATAATTGTGTCATGTAACACTCATATAATAAGCCAATTAACATTTCCTACTTTAATGAATCCTCTTTTTTTTTTTTTGTTATGTAAAAAGATAATGAGTCGTAGATGAGCGAGAGAG